CAGGTCTTCGAAACAAGCTGTCAGTTAACTTAGAATACGACAGTAAAAAAACCGATATACAAACAAGAGCGCGCAACGGACTCAAAAATAGGGATGTCGATAGGTATGTCATCGATGGAGCATCCATCAACACTAACGACGACGTGTCGAGGCTCAGTACCATCATTACGTCGGCGGTACTAGACTCCCTAGGCTAACTCGGGTCTCCCAGCTCAGGGTCGCTGAACACAACAGTGGTTGCCAAAAACTCTGCAGGTGATTCAACCCACGTTAAGAGAGCCCAAAAGAACCAGGCATCACCGCCTAAGCCGAGCAACCCAAGTGTTGCTGCACGGAAAATAACTGGTGATTTAGTCGCACAGTCTACCCCCAAGACTGTTCGTCCGGTGAATAAAGAGCCCAAGATTCATGAACGCACACTGACCTCCAAACAACAAGTTATTAAACCTGAACCCATCGTGAAACCTGGTAAATTAACAACAGTTCGTGACGATTCTCTCATTATCATGAACCTCGTCGAAAATCCTGACCTTCCTCTCAGTCTGCAGGATAAAAACGACAGGATGCTCTGGGGTGAATTGAACAAGAAGCTCGAACTTCCTAGAATAGAGCCTTTGACGGTCACCCGGCTCACTCGAGGAAAGGATTCTAAGCATCTAAATCACCCGAGGCTTCTCCGAGTAACACTTAAGAATGCTACCGACGTAGAGGACGTCTTGCTAGCAAGTCACTTACTGAAATCAGATGGTAACGTAAGAATATTGCCCGACATACCGTACTCTGAGCGCAATATCATACGAAACGTCCCTAAAGAATCTCGCGAGAAGTTCTTCCGCGGAAGAAACATAATTGTCCAAGGTATACCGGAAAATGCAGACCCTACTCAATCAAATTCTGACATCAGGGAATGGAAATTCATCAAACAGTCCTTGAGGCTCAAACACATACTGACTCAGCATGTGACGAGACTAGCCAAGAAGGACGGTGATCTTAGACCCCGTCTAATGAAGATAACCTTCCCATCTTCCCACATGGCGGCTGCAGTTATGGAAGCATTTCGTGCTAATAGACGTCGATTGCCACCTGGAATCCACATGCACCCGGACAGGCCATACGAAGTCAGGACCAAGAACAAAGGCAAGTTGGAGCTGACCATTCCACTTGTGGACTGTCTAAACGATAAAAAAAACGTGTAAAGGACAGGGCCTACCACCTCGGCAAACCTCATATAGGTGGGCTACCTGTCCATTCACATAAGGTTCATACAGAAAAACAAGACGAAGCTCATGCGTTCCAAATTGAAAGCATAAACTGCTTATATATGAACGCCGCGAGTCTACCAAACAAACTGGATGAACTACGTGAACTTAGCAACGCTAACAAGGCCCACCTGATAGGAATATCTGAAACCTGGATATCTTCTCAGTTCTCGGACCAAGAGTTAGCATTGCCTAGGATGACCTTGTTCCGCAACGAAAAAAAAACGGGAATTGGGGGCGGAGGAGCCATATATATAAGCTCTTGCTTGGAGGTGCACCAGGTTCACAACCTCGAGTTTAACAATCTTGAGGAATCCATATGGTGCTCTGTGAGATTGTCTAGTACTTCCAGGTGTCTAGTCGGAGTCAACTTCGCGGAACACACGTACACTGGAGGCGACAACTCAACTGAAGCTCGGTTCTTCAACCTCATCGATAACTTGGGCTTATATGAAAATGTGAGGTCGGCAACTCGTTGGGACTTCTTACTGCACACGCTCTTATGTGCTACAGACTATTCAGTTCCTCAAACGGTTCCCAAAAGCTTCAAGCTACCTACAGTAATCAAGAACCGTACCCTTCGCCTCCTAAGTCGCAAACGGCACTGTTGGGCGGAATACAAACGAACTAATAACGATGGAGCGTATAGGCAATATAAACATATCAGGAACATATGCACGAAGGCTATAAGAGAAGACAGGCTTCAGTACCAAACAAAGCTTATGGACAAATTCGCCTCTAACCCTAGAAGCCTATTCCGTTACGCAGCCTCTCTTCGTCAAGCCAAAACAGGAGTTTCTCAACTGCTAGGTCTTGACGGTCCGACCAACAATGATGGCGACGCCGCTAACCTTCTGGCGGCCCATTACTCTCAAACATTTCAACCGGCTGACATCATTTTTATTGACGACAGTTTCATCTCCAACTCCACAGGACTTTCTGAAGTGGACCTAAGCGCTGACTTGGTGTTCCGGAAACTGCAGCACTTAAGACTTGACACTTCTCCTGGCCCGGATATGGTTCATCCTGCCATACTGAGGGAGCCAGCCTCAATCCTGGCAACGCCGATTAGCGTGATGTTTTCACACTCGCTTAGCCGAGGCAAATTACCGGAAAATTGGAAGTTGGCTCACATCACACCAATTTTCAAAGGTGGTCGACGCAATGAACCTTCAAGTTATCGGCCGGTGGCTCTTCTGTCATTACCTTCAAAACTCATGGAGTCCCTGATATGCGACGGTTTAAACGACTATCTACTGTCCTTAAATTTCTTCTCACCCCAACAGCACGGTTTCAGGAAGGGTTACTCTTGTATAACCAACCTGCTGACTGCGGTGGACAGATGGACAAGCATCCTCGATTGCAAGGGAAAGGTTGATGTCATTTACCTTGATTTCTCAAAAGCTTTTGATAAGGTTAACCACTTGTGTCTTATCAATAAGCTCAAACGACTAGGTATCAAACCACCTCTAATCGATTGGCTTACTTCATACCTAAAAAATCGACACTTTAAGGTTAGGGTTAATTTCACTTTGTCTCAAGCTATGGAATGTCCTAGTGGGGTCCCCCAGGGCTCAGTACTAGGGCCTCTTCTCTTCTTGCTCTACATAAACGATCTTCCTCAACAGGTAACGTCAGACTTATTACTTTTTGCCGACGACGTGAAACTTTGGAGAGAGATACGCAACCAAGACGATAAACAGGCACTTCAAGAGGATCTGACTCGACTTCAAAGTTGGGCAGACGATAACGGACTTACCTTTAGCACTTCAAAGTGTAAAGTAGTCCATCTGCGACATGTCGCAAACTACAGTTACAACTTAGGAAACTCCTCTCTAGTAGTATCCCAAGTCGAAAAAGATCTAGGAGTCCTATTGCCCCACGACTTAAAGTCTTACGCTAACTGTGACAAAAATGCCTTCCGAGCAAACCTTGCACTGGTAACGTTGAGGCGCATTTTTGGCCAGTTTGACGGAAGAACTTTCCATACAATCTTCAATAGTTTCATCCGTCTCCATTTAGAGTACGGAAACATAGTACTCCCCCCTCACTCCAAAAGGACAAGGTCACTTTGGAGCGTATCCAACGGCGAGCCACGAAATCAGTTCGAGGACTCAAATCTAAGCCTTACGAAGAACGCCTCCGTTCACTAGACCTTTACCCACTAGAATATAGGCGTCTTAGAGGTGATTTATTAATGGCTTATAGTATTCTTAACACTTCTGGACATCCTCTTAAACACCTAATTAAGCTTAGTTCGAATAATAACCTAAGGGGTAACACCCAGAAACTGGAAACACAACATAGCAAGACGGAATGTAGACACAACTTCTACTCCTTAAGAGTTGTCAAAAGCTGGAACTCGCTGCCGGCCGAGCTAGGCCAAGCGACTTCTCAGGAGTCCTTCAAGAGGCAACTTGACCTATTCTTAAGGACCAAGGACAGCATCACACTATGATTTACCAATTTCTTTTCCTCTTTTACTGTTAACATACCTAGGTTCCTGCCTGGAAGATTTGGTGATCCCCTGCTACTAAACACGGAAGCCTGTTAAGCGAAAGCTTCTTCTATTCCGTCCACAACCATTTGAGCTTTAGTGTTCATCAAAAAGTAACTTCTGTTGCATTCATAACCTTATTTCACATGCCCACTAGCCTCTACTATTTCTTTTTAAGTTCTTAACAGACCCAAACGAGCGTCACAACTGAGGCAAACCAAAACTTTGTCATAAAGCATCAAAATGGATATTTTAAATTAGACACAATATTTACTATGAATTTACGTTACACGAAACGGTGGGACAAACAAATACCACACCTATTTCCGATGTTACCTTGTGAACCGCAAGTATCGTCATTTCTATAAGCTAATGAAGTGCATAGCAATACTTTTCAGTATGCATCGCACAAGGGAAAATAGGGTTAGTTCATTGGAACCCATGTACGCACATCTTGCATTACATGCCAGATTCACCGTTTAGTCTGGAAGATAAGTGGTTAAAACAAAGTAATGTACTAGGTTTTTATCTCCCAGTTTTATTCAGAAATGATCGAACAGTTATCATGACTACAGAACCCAGTCTAAAATTTATATCATTGGTTTTGGGTAGGTAAATAATATATCCTTGATATATAACAGAAACGGACAAATACCATATCGCTTCTGGACTACACACCGAAATAGTTCCCCAGTCTTACTACAGTAATCTTGAATTTAACCTTTATTTTGCCTTAAGGTGAACAATTTTTGTTGGATTCTCACCAAATGATGAGCATTTCTTTTATGCCAAACACACTTGACGATTTTGGAAGAAAAACTTTCATTAAGTCTCTCTTTCCGGACAATTCAAAATTAGTAGTAATTCACTAAATTCGATTTGACCCTATAACAGTTTAAAGCTTTGGGTGGCTTGTTGTACAAGCTGACTCGCAACGCGGACGATTTACGTTTAGCATTTAATCAGAATGTATTGAATATAGTTGACGTACAGTTATTACAAAGGTATTCGAAGTAACCATTCACGATTAATACACATAGACAAGATATGCTATTCGTCGACAAGTCTGCGATGAAGTATCTACAGATTATCGACTTTCATGAAACATATAAAGTAAACAGAGGAATACTTCCTTCTGAGGCAAATATCAGCCCTACATTATTCAGTAAGTTGAAGCTTATATAGTGCTAGAAATAATAAACCACTGCCTGACAATCCAAGGTGCCACAGAACTACAGAAATGGATGGGATCACCTATAAGCAGCAAAGAGGCAATAACAGGAAGATTGGATGCAGTGGAATTTTTTCTGAGAGGGAAGGGGACCCAGTTATTGTCAGAAATAAGAACGCTACTTAAGAAGGTTGGAAATATACAGGTATGTTTCAGTATCATAACGTTATAATCCTGATGAAATCCGTAATGTTGGTGTATTCGTCAATAAAAAAAACCTTGTGAGATCTTATGACGTTGTTTTATAAATTCCGTACCAGCTAATAATGTGGAATGTTAGCACGCACTGGGGTACGCAAAAGAAGCATCATACGTGCACGATTTTTCAGTGGAGAAATAGTGAAAGATCATTTGACGGTTATAAAACGTAACCGCTAGAAATTGAGTCAAACCACTGGATATCATTCGGACTACTTTGCTTAGACAACAGGATAAAAACATCTACAGATAGTGCACACATACAAGTACATCTAGTAGATTGTTAGTAAAATCAAGAGACTTCGCGTTGACAACTGATTAATTTTGTCAGAAATGGACTAAATGTCTTCGTCAAAAATCCTGAAAATATTAGTCTGCTATCTCGGCTATCCACAAATCAAACACACCATAAAAAGGAATCGAAAAACCTTGATGAGTTATGGTCAAATTATTATTTAGGTCATAAATTTTAACGTGCAGTCTGATTTATGAGATCTGTCATTTACTAGGCTTGCCTTCAAAAACGGCAAGTAGTAAAGACACCTACAAATTATATTAGAATACCAAGCAAATTTAAATTTATAATTTACCTTGTGTTTGCATAACTTAACATTTAAAAACTTTTCAACCCATAAAATAAAAATTCATTTCCAGAAAATTATTCTCAGAATGCAAACATCTTCAGCTATACCAAGTGACTGGAGAACAATAATACATGTAAGACAAATATTGTGAAAAGTAATGATGAGTCAAAGACTTTAGATGCAATCGAAGCTCTTATCACTATGTGTAAACCATATTGTGCAAAATTATATCCTGTCCAAGAATTGCTTCTAACAAACTTCGACCCAGCAATCATAGGAAGCGTCAAATCATGGCTAGTTCATGTAATTGACACGGAGAAGACGGAAAAAGAACAAAGATTTGTTGTTCGACGTGGAGTCGACACTACTTTGGACAAATGTAAGTGGTGACCTATGTCTGCTAAATACAGATTTCCTGAATAAATCTACATTACAGTTAATAAGGTGTTATAGGTATCATATTGAAAAACACAAAACCAAGCGTTCCTGCAAAAGGAATGTTACTAAAAAAAATCTGAAATTGACTTGGAAAAATGATACATCGAGTTAGATTTACTTTTACAAACACAATACAGTCTGATTCAGCAAACGTAGGAATTAGTAACAAATGTATCTGTCAATAACGGACAGTGATCAAGTTTACACTAATATGTACTTTTAGTGAAACTTAAAAGTATCCACTGTTGGGTGGCTAGACTGGACAACTTCTATATAAGAGGAACAATATTACACAGCTTATCTACAACTTTGAATATTATATGTACGTACCTGATATGAAGTTATAAATTGTGTAACTCGACTAACATAAATGAACGCGAAAACTACTACGTACCAGGGTGGATTATGAGGAACTAGAAGTTTAAATTAATTAATTACAAGACATGGACGAACTGATGAATGTGTCGCACTTACGTTAACGTAATAAATAATTTGACAATGTAATTATGTTAATGCCATCTCTCTGCATCAAATTCAGTGATATATTCTATTTAATGTTTAGGGAATGAAACATACGCTTGTCTTCCAGACTTGCTGTCACAGCTGGCAGAAGATGAACTTGGGAAATTACGAGAAAATATAAGAACGTGTGGACTAATTTACTTTCCTTTAGTAAGTAATTAGTTGGTTATTATTATATTTTGACACTTAAGCAGAAACCATTAAAGTAAACTTTCTTTGATTTATTCAGGTGGGTTATCTGTTGAAAATTCCAAAAGTAGAAGTAGAAACTCCCGATATACAGTTAAGCGGGTTGGAATTCGCTGTAAGTTGTGAACTTTATTTTACTGACGTAACTGGTAAAAGACACATTTATCGGTTTCTCAACTTTGAATTTAGCATTTGATGCATTAGTAGCACAAGGGCTTACATGTTAAATGAACTCATGTCTGTAATTTCGGTGGCCAACAAGCTGGTCGATTAAACTGAGCATGATTTTCTACAAAAAGCGATCGACACAATTGTCGAGATTCTGTATTTATTAAACCTTACTGTTCACATCTTTAGAAGTTCCCATAGCTCTAGATGGGGAGTCTATGGTAGAATAGTGATAGAATGTTTAAGAGTCGGAAAGGACTAAAACTCAACAACTAGTCATTCTGAAAAAGCTATAAATTTAATCCACTACACAGATAAAATTGAAATAATTTAAGTTCAAAATCAAAATGTCAAGGCTTGGTATTATCCTTACTGAATAAGTCCCTTGTATATTCGTCATATAATAACACAGAACTTTAAATTTTTTGATCAGTTTACAGATAACGAGATGGCATACTACCGAAACAAAACCACACGCAGTAAGTACTGTCCTGTCTTATTGAAATACTTTTTTGTTTCAGTCCTGGATCAACGCTACGGTGATGTAATGTATGCCATTGTTGGTAAGTGCGAAAAGCCATATAATTTAAACACAACCAAAATTTACGAATGAACAGTATTAGTTCTTTATATCAGCAAAGTAATGAACAGTTTGAAAACTACATAATAACAAAGTCACGACTTCCGCTTTCTTGAGACATTTTGATGTATGGACGAATTAATTCGAGATCTCAAGAAAATCTGAAGTGAACTTAACTCCTGTGGTTGTTTATTATCTAGTATTTTGGGAGCTACTGTGCATATCATTGCTCTTTGATGACAGTAAAGTTAGAATCCAGCAACACAACTGATGGATAAGTGCCAAGCCACTTTGTGGTGTAACATGAACACACTCGACTAAACTTAGGATTTAGACAAACTTCACAAACAAGCTAAGCGAGCAACATTCAACCATTACTGCTATATAGAAACATCTGGAGCGTATTCCCAACATTGTTTTTAAAGTAGGATTATGTGAATTTAGTATCAGATAGTAATTACTTAAGTCATAGTTGATGTACAAACACAGTGAATTGACAAAAATGAACCCATTACTGCAGATTTGATTTTCAATACATTAGGAAGCACGTATAATCTTTTGAAGGGATTTCCGCATAAATAAAGCGACAATCTCATTTAATATGGAGTTGAGGTGCACTCACACCAACTCGATCTAGGTTGACAAATTATCTGAAACCTAATCAGCATACCCCGATTTCGAAGCATAGATGGTCTTGACTGTCGAACACTCAGAGCATAGCTGGTAATTCATTTGTGGTCCGGCTTACCTGTGTGCAAGGCTATCGAGCCATGGGTACCTTGTGAGATGCTAGCCTAAAAATCAATCGTTTCGTACCAGTTACCTCTAGAACTTACCAGTCGGTACGCTATGTACTAGTTGTGTAGGATTAAAACCACTGACAATCCCTGAATGTCAGCCTACAGTACTTCTGATTACCTTAGAGTCAACTTGACGTTTATTAAACTCACTAATAGTTAATAGGTGAGGCCCATATAATCCAATATGACGGATTAACTTTTGGGATGCTGGCTCTGAAGATGTCCATGTTCACCGACACTTTTTGTCCATGTCTTACAGAAAGCCCTAGAATAAAAACCTCTACATAGTCCTAGTAACTAACATGCTCTTCCTGAAATGCTCACTCGATGTTCGACTCATCAGGTAGTCACAGACATACATGTTTAAACTAATCTTGCGGTTCAAACGAACATTACAAACTGAAGCAGAACTCTCCCCATCATCTCTAACCGGGACTGACGATAGTTTATTTGAGCACACCGTCTATTTCGTCGCTTATCAGGTCTGACAGCACAACAGAAGTGATATACGTAGGATTACTCGGCACTTGAAATGACCGCATCCATGTGTAGTGGGAACAAAACGCGTCAGAAATAAAAATGTCTTGATGTGACGTGACATGTGTGCCACTGCAACTAATATTTGGTTTAATCCTTAAGCATTTCTACAGCCAGTTTAATATGCTACTTGTACACCTAATATTGATTATAAGAACCTATTTTGCAAATGTGCTCTCGTCCTTCTAATTAACAATCATTATCAATGGAGTTGCTGACCGTCCGAAACTAAGTACATTGCTTCGGAACAGTGGAAGACATTACTCTATAAATTCCAATCATCCCTTTGGATTTTACCACTCGTCAAACTCCCTGGTGAGTTGGAACATTAAAAGCGACCTGATAATTGTGAGCATTATCCACCCACTGGCGTAGAAACGTCTATTACTAGTACGACACTATCTGGCGTAATTGTCATTAGCAAAACTTACTGTGACTATCTGGTAAAATGGAATGAATGCGACCATGCCCTTGAAAGTACATTTTAATGGTCGGTACCACCACCCATCTTTGCAAATAATGCTTGCGACTTGAGGAAATATTAAGGCAATCCCCACAGAATGCACATATACCAATAAGAGGCTGATCAATTGCAGTCCTAAGCATCAACAGGAAGACCCAAACAACCAATACAAGGTGAACTTAACCTCACCGCATTGCAAAACCGAGTGACTATCTGAACTCAATAGCAAAATGGACGACGCGATGACGTTCAAAGCGAACTGCACTGGGTCTGAGGCATGGAGTGAACATTAGCCCTGGGATGCAGGTGTACCCAAGCGCAGAGCCTGAAGTAGGACGAAGAGACCCACTGCTGACTACCATCTATCTCTGCCTATAACTATACACAAGTTTGGAAGTAATAAACTAAGATGGTTCTCCTAGAGTAACTGGATGGAACAGAAACCCACGTGTATTCACCGAAACCACGTCAGCCGCATTTGGCGAGTGATGCGATTGTGTGGGGACGGTTTTTGGAACGCTCAAGTCATTCGGTTTTCAACTCAATCTAAAGAAGACATGACGCTATACGGGATTTGTCAATATACAGTGAATTTAGTTGGACCACAGTAACTAAGTCTCACCTAAAAATGTGCCAATTATTCGCTGTCTTACTTTGACACATTTTATTGAAAAAATGGGATGCGACCACGACATTTAAACAGTCATAGAAATAATTACCACTTATTTAACTAGATAAATCTTCAGTCAATTCTATTTATAAAACTTTTAGATGCGGAAACCACAATCATGCATCATCTTCAAGATCGCTTACTAATTCACACACAGAGCATACTTCAGGCATCCCAATTTGTTGCGGAGATAGATTGGTAAGTTGCTAATTAAATAGTACACAAGAAATAAATACTTTGTTTATAAATATAATTTCGAGACCTTCCCTACAACCAGACACTATAATTCAAGCAACTTCCCAGCTAAATGATCAACATATATAGGAAAGCACAACTTAAATAATAAATTATGTAAAGCCACAAAGCATAACACTTTTGCCGGAGATAGCCGTAACCACTAAGGCGATTTATGTTGGTGAATTACAATCCTACTTTGCACGCAATACGTGTATATTTAGATGAGCTGAACACTAATCACCAAAATGAACTATTTAAGCTGAGTACCTTAAAAATACATAACTAGTAGAGGCCCAGACCAGTTGAGGATATTCCCTTCAGTCTAGCAAAGCATGAGGGTTACAATAATAAGCAAACGACAAAAGCAACCTTGACCTCGTAAGTTGATGTACTAACAAATAATATTTATACTAGCAGAGCTCTTATTGTTTAAATAGATAAGTAAAGGTGAATTCTCCTTAGTCCTTGAAGTTGTAGTATTACTTGTATTACATTACTATTTCAGCTTATGTGCCTTCGCCATGGCTGCCAAGCATATGGAATGGACTCGACCGAAAATAGTGAACGAGAACTGTATACATATTTATAAAGGATGGTATCCCATCCAACAAACAGTATCTACCAACATAATTAAAAACTCATTCTACTCTGATGGATCTAAGCATAAGATAACATTGCTGACTGGACCGAACGGAAGTGGGAAAAGCATCTACATGAAAAGTGTAAGTAAATCCACGAGTGACTATGGACCTTGATTACATTCCTGAAACGTAGACTATGACACCGAAAATAGAAAGTTCAATTAAGAATGTTGACTGCATTTTGACTTATTGTTTCCAAATTTCCCTAACAAAGTAATTCCCATAAGAAGTGAAGAGCTAATAATTGTGCTGCTGAAAGATACAGGGTCCCTGAGAAGTATGCCACAATTATTTTTAGTGTTGAGGTATCATCAGGGTGAGCCGTGAAGCTGACCATGCGACAGAATAATGTAAGTAATAAATGATGAGCAAAATGAACTCTGTTCACGAAGCAATAGTTAAATGATTGTTTAAGTAACTCTACAAGTAATCCATCGAGGTACTTGGTGCTCGATTGAGTAACATTTTGATATTAAACAAACTTCATCCGTGCTAAATGATACGCCATTGAAGTCTTCATTACTCGGTGATGATTTTACAGGATTTGGATATCCTCTTAAAATTACAGACATGAACCGACAGTGTAATTGTAGTTTATCTCCGAACTTCTTATGCTTCGAATGAAATCTTTTAAAAATAACTAAATTAAAGTTTTGGACCAAAATATCCCGAAATTTTGTGACGCGACCACAAACGCAACTAATTGCAATACGTGTTGGAGTATCAAATGGGACTTTTTGTGTATCAACGCTAGTTATTATTAGATGTAATATAAGGTTGGGAATTACAAGTTCTCGTACCTTAATATCCTAGTGAGGACTGAAGCACTTATTTACCGAGGTAAAGTACACTGCTAGCAAATATATGGGCATAAAAATACTTGCCTAGCATGTTTACGCTTTTTTGTTTACTTGTAGATCGCCTTAATAATTTACTTAACGCACATAGGAAGCTATATTCCGGCTGAAGGGGCAACAATTTCTGCGTTTGATGCAATACATATACTCACAGGTACAAACTCTACTGAAAGAGATAACTGTTCGACCTATATGATGGCACTTCAAATGGCCTCAGTTGCTTTAAGAAACTTAACAAGCAAAACATTAATAATAATGGACGAGTTTGCAAAGTCCGTAAACAAAGTAAGTCTAACACCTAGAAACTACTACGGGAAGATGAGTTAATTCCTGTCTTTCTCTATGCTTAACTAAAGTTTGGTAAAACTACTAATACAGGTTTGTTTGGTTATGGTGTAGTTAAGACGCCACACAAATGTTTACATCGATGCATGTGGGATTTCTAGTCCGGAATATGCAGTGATTTAAACTATTAATACCAAACTCTTATAAATCAAGAAACTTAACTACAATACCTAACAAACGGGATGCTAGGACATCCACAAAATGCTATATATATATATATATATATATATATATATATATACATATATATATATAGTGAATAAAAATGAGTATTCCGATGTTTGACAAGAGCATAGCATAAGACGACCCATAGAACCATGTGCAACAAATCTATTTATCATGATATAATTACTGCTAAATACCTTAAACATGTAAAACTACTATAACCACATATTGTAACCAAATTTTCATTTTTTAGTTAGAGTTAGATGCGCTTACAATCGCTATGGCAGAATTCCTATTGCTGAAAAATGAATGTCCGTATACCATCATAGCTACCCACAACCATACAATACTAAGGCAACTCCAAATGTATGGACCGCAAGTTCAATACCTGGTAAGTTTTCAGCTTGAGAAACATTTTGATGTTCTTAACACAAGACAATGAGGACAGTCCCTCATGAAGGAAGAGTGGTGTGTCTTTATGAAGCAGTCAATGGTTTGAACTTAAGAAGCGAGGCAATTAGTACAGCACATGCTACAGGACTCCCGAAGAAAATTACTGAAAGAGCATTAACTCTGAAAGATTTTTTGAGTACAGTACCCACTCATCGTATGAAGAACAGAAATAAAAAGTAGTTCTTCGCCTGATTTAACTTATTTTACAGGGTGAAGACGGTCCTGAAGCTAGTTTATGGAACAGACACGGGTGGCAATGAGATGACGCTAAACAAAATCTTTAACTCTGAATTTTATGAACTTTTAGAAAGTCTAGACTAGTGTAAAAGTGAAGGTCAGGAACCAGATAAATAAAGACATTTTGAAGAGATGATTGTTGTTATTTTTTCTGCTGTCGAATTTTAGAAAATACGAAAATAAAGCTTTCAAACCTTAACGAAGTAAGAAAAACCTGTAGTGCTACTGACGGCCGACATATGTATCCATTGCAAAGAAAACAAATATTCACAAAAATAACAATGATAATCATAGTCAGGGGGGATATTGTACAGGGGTAGTGAATAATTTCAACTATGAAACGAAAGAATAAAAGGATGCTCTAATGCTCTGGAACAGGTAATTCGTTCTGACGGAATATACACCAACATCTCTTTTACAAGATCGAAAGCCAGGCGCTTGTAGAGGTCAGAATTAGAAAACCAGTAGTCACCAAGAGGCTTCAGAACTCTCCTAACGTAACGAGACTCTGAAGAAGCAGGAGACCAATCTAACCGACCATGGCGAAAATATCGTCGTCGACGGGACACCTTTGTCATACATTTTGGGAGAGTCCCTAGTAAACGTTCCATCATAGCTAGGTGCTCAAGGTTATCATGTGTCATGAATAAACATTGTCCTGTCACCAATTCATACAAAATACATCCTATAGACCATACATCAGCAGATCGATCCCATCCAAGCTCCATAACAACTTCAGGAGCACGATAGTGCCGTGTCTGTATGGTAGTCGAGTGGTGATCTTCATCGAAAGTGGCTGATCCGAAGTCTATAAGCTTTATGGATGGATTACGGATTCGCCGTACTGTCCTGCCACGATGGTTGACATAAACTTCGTCGTAAGTACCATCAACAAATAAAATATTCTCAGGTTTCAAATCTGTGTGTGTGAGCTTATTTCGATGCAAAAAGGCAACAGCCTCACACAACTGTCGGATAATTATTGCACATTGTTCAATGGTGTACGGTTCATAGTCATTTTTTTCAAGAAATGTAAAAACACTCGGACCAAGTAGAGGAAATACAATATAGAAGTGTTCATGCCATTCGAAGAAATCTATAGATGATATGCAATGGGATCGATCTTTGGCATCTAATCTTGCAATAGTTTCTAAAACATTAACCTCGTGACGCGCAGCATCACTATAATCACTCTGAGGTTTAAGAGCCTTGACAGCAGTCAACGAATTTGTGTACAAGTCAAAACATTCAAAAACTTGCCCATAGCTACCCTCTCCTAGTATCTTCTCCACTCGAAAGCGTCGCTTGATAGTGTCACCGACCGGTACAATAGCAGATGGTTTGCGTTTGTGGTGCTCATGACTAGCTTTCCTTCGTGCTTTTTCATCGCGACGCTTTTCTTCTCTCTTCTGACGTGCTATTTGCTTGTCATCTCTGTCAGGGAGTCTCGGAGAACCAGGAAATTGCCCATTATGTAAGTGAACGCGCATTGAATGCCCATCATGGATTTCGATACTTGGACTACGCTGCCGTTCTCGCTTAGTTGGATGGTGAGGCGGAGGTTTGGTAGCATGACTAGGAGCGATGCCACTGCAGGAGGAACTGTTAGAACGGTCTCGAGGACGGCCCTTATCACCAGAGATACGTACTGCCTTACATGTGCTCGTTGTATGATTGAAATTAGGAACTGATACATGGGAACTATGATTCCGCCTGAACCAACGGGGATAAAAACAATCACAGACTCAGTGACACGAAAGAAATAAAAACAAGACTATTCAAAATCAAAAGTTTATATGTGTACCTTTTACTACGTTCTGAAACACGACGTCTTTTAGGGTCTGAACAACCATAACCAGAGGATGCTTTTTCGGATGTGCTGGACCGTTTTCGATGACCAGCTGATGAAGAAGAAGTGGAACAAACAGAATCCGATACATATCTAGTTTCTTTGTTTCGAAACAGGGAATTGAAGCAACAACGATGATTGCTCTTAGAACGCCAACCACGGCTAGTAGATTCTCCTCGTCTCAAGACCATCATCAATTAGGGCGCACTTCCACTTACTGCCAACAATATGGGTACCGTACTGATAAAAACAAACAGAGTAGAATCCTAAACAGTTAAGACTATAGACTTTTTGAGCACATTTGAAGCGTATCGGTCATTCTTATTTCAAAAATACAAAACTTACTAGACATTTTTCAAGAAAGGTTTGGAGACAAAGTATAAGATTATGTGATTAAAAGAATGAAAGAAGTTTTAGAGGGTGCGATACTATTTTATTTTGAGGCAGTAAGGAAATATAAGGCTAATATAGTTATATGAACTAGCGATGTATTTTGAAATATCTGCAAACAACCATCAGCAAGCGATTGTGGACGCTCCATCCCATCCCCACATCTAATCTTATCGTCATTTCAAGGTCTGTTAAGTATTCTGGATTCTCGAACTCTGTTATATGCTGATAAAATTAGTGTAAAGAAACTAGTACAAGAACCTTCGGGTATATTGACTGTGCAAGATAGCTTGAATATGACAGATGATTACGCAATCAGGTACTGTCTCCCTAATAATAACAGTATAAAGAGGATGACGATGTTAAACAGAAGTGATGCATCTACTGGATGATTCCAGTCTACAATTTACTCTAAGTGGGCTTGAGTGTTACTTTATTTGGTGCCGAGCGTGACGAACGTCAAACATATTGTTTCGTGTTGAAAAAATTATGAATGGATTACCTCCAAGCGGTATGGTTTAGTCCTTAGTTCAGTTCCCTTTTAAGCTGTTTTTCTGTAAATCGTATAATGAACCCAGCCTCAGTGACTGAGTATTTCTTATCGACTGCAGAATATCGTTGAAAATAAATACCTAGGGAATCAGACGATGTTTGGCTACTGGATCTACACCGTTGAAAACGTGTATCATTTCAAGTAGATCCAGTAACCAAACATCGCAGCTTGTCCAAGCAACTCATTACAAAAAACTCATATTCAGAATATTTACCTCTCTTTCACCAGTAGAAGTGTAACAGAATGCCATCTGATCAACGGTATTTTTGAAATTTGATTAATGTAAGAGCGTATGTCTTTGAAAATTCGGGAAAGTGTGGTTCAAATTTAGGCCATTATTGCTTACATACCACGACACCAAAAGATACAGCTACAATTCACACTGACACAACGTGAGTGGCAGAAGTTGATGACAACTAGCTGGAGATTCAAAACATTGTCAACCGGAAATATTGCGTGTACTATTATACAGAGAGAAGAAAACTGTATTTATAGTTCAGCCGCAATAACACGTAAGAAGTTATCAGGAAGGTTGTAATTTGTTCTTGAAGTATGCTATACAATTATAAAACGTAGTTCTGCAGATATAACTATATTTTTAACAATATGCATTTTCACGTTGTTGGTACTGAGGACTAGAACTTTACAATCTCTACTGACATTTATGGATTTTCTTTTGGTTATAAGTTTTATCAAGGTTGTATCGTACTTAAATGTGGAACCTTGGCTCCTCTGAAGAAAAGCGATCAAGCCATGCTAGCCTAGATTTTTATCAGCAAAATTGAGCTAAGACATTCTACCGAAATCAGGCAGTGAAATTTCAAATGGTTGAATGTGTCAGCTTTACATGACAATGTACAGTACGTGAACTGAGAATTTCATCCTCAACTTCATGTGGATGCTCATGGCGATTTCTTACTTCATACAATCTTATGTGCTATAAAGCAGTCTGTTAAGTTTATGGTCCTCGAAATCTACAAGCAACATACAGTCATCAATAATCACACTTTTTGTTTGCTAAGCTGCAAAAGGATCTACCGGGCGGGATACAAATGAACTGGTAATAACAGGGCATACAGTCAAATCAAATAAGTAAGAATTATATGCACTAAGGCAATGAGAGAAGACAGGTTTCAGTATGATAATTTGAAGTATTTGGATTATGGTTTAAACTAGGAACCCCAGAAATAACTCAATTGTATCAAAAAGTACTAGATAAGCACGAACTAATGTACTGTATTTGGAATTCCAAATTAAGCATTCAACAAGCATAAAGGAATCACTAGTTCATTCAAACACCACATTCAGCACCAGATAAAGCTTGTTGATGCAGTGAACCTTTAAGCTACCGACAGGTAGAACGTCTCTCAATCCCCTCAAAGATTATGGAGTTTCTGATATTCGAATTTCAAAACGATTACTTACTATCCATAAACTTCTTCTCAGCCCAACAGCACGGTTTGAGGAAAAGTAACTCGTGTGTTACCAACATGCTGACTGAGGTGGATAGATGGACAACCGTCTTTGATCGCAAGGGTAAATTTGGTGTTATATACCTTGGCTTCTCAAAGACTTTCGATAGGGTCAATCGTATGTGCCTTGTCAATAAGCTCAAACGACTGGGTATCAAATCACTAATAATTGATCAACTGAATTCATATTTAAACAATCGAAATTTCAAGGACAGGGTTGCATTTTGTTTTCCACAGGCTAAGGAATATCCTAGTGGGAGCCCCCAGAGTTCAGTATTAGGACCCCTTATTTACTTGATTTATGTAATCGATCTTCCACAGCAAGTATCACCAGACTTATTGCTTTTACTGAAGATGTAAAACTTTGGTGAGAGATACACAACCAAAAGGATAAACTGGCACTTCAGGAGGATCTGACTCGACTTCAACGTTGGACAGATGACACCGGACTTACTTTCAACACTTCAAAGTGTAAAGTAGTCCATCTGCGACATGTTAAAGACTACAGCTACAAATTAGGCAACTCCCCTCTAGAAGTAATCAAGTTGAAAAAGACTTAGGAGTGCTGGTACCCTACGATTTGAAGTTTTACGCTAACTGTCACAAAGGTGCCTTTCGAGCGAACCTTGCAAAGATGACATTGAAGAGCATTTTTGGCTAGCTTGACGGAAGAGCTTTCCACATAATCTTCAACAGTTTTATTCGTCCCCATTTAGAGTACGGAAACATAGTATTTTTTCCCTCACTCCAAAAGGATAAGGACACTCTGGAGCGTGTCCAACGGCGAGCCACCAAATCAGTCCGGGGACTCAAATTTAAACCTTATGAAGAGCGCCTTCAATTACTAAACCTTTATCCATTAGAGTACAGGCATCTTAGAGGTGACCCTCTAGTGACTTACAGCACAATTAACACTTCTGGTTATTCCCTTAGACATTTACCGAAGCTTAGTTCCAACATAAACCTTGGGGTTAACACCCAAAAAGTGGAGAAACAACACAGCAGAACGAACTGTAGACACACCTTTTGCTCCTTAAATGCTGGAATTCGCTGCCGTCTGGGCTAGTTCGGGCGACCTCTCTGGAGTCCTTTAAGAACAAACCTGACATATTCTTAAGGACTGATGATTTATCAACTTTTTTGTAGTTTTCCTCTCATGTCGTTAAGATACCTAGGTTCCTATCTGAAGGCATTGGTGATCCACTGCTACTAGGTGCGTAAACCCGTTAAGCGAAAGCTTCTTCTATTCTGTTCAGAACCATTTGAATCATTTAGCTTTTTAAACAGATTTGTAGTTCTGTTTTTGAGGCCTCAAAAATCGGAAGTAACTTATTTACTATGTATACTATATAACGTCAAGACCTTTACGTTATATATGATTAAATTGAGTGAAATTTAGACTTGAATCCAGTGAATGAAATATTAGAAGTTTAGTTTGCTATGTAGTCTGTTTAGTTAGACATTACTTTCAGGGTTCATCTAATTAACTATTAAAGGTTAACAAGTTCATCTATTATTCAGTAATACTCAATAGTCGACTAAATAATAAATTCAAAAAATAAATCTATCATTAATATTTTGACGAATGTAATTTGGTGTTATGTTAATCTTTCTGATGGTAAAAACATATTGTAGTGTCGGTCATTATATTAAACCCATATATCTTATTCTCGCTTTCGGACAGCCCATTCTATTCATTCTTTTTGAGTCACATTCTGACCTTGTTAATTATCAATCTTCACCGTTTTTATATGAGCGCGTAGGTGTGTGTACATTTCTTGTCCCATTACCCATCACATGTCTGTAACTTACTTTTGTGTAACTATAAATATTGATTAACGCTTGGTTAAATGGGAGTTGGCTTACCCGCCATCACCACTGCGCGTCGTTTCGCTTTGTTCTATTCCATTCGCTTTATATACAAAATATATGTATTCACAAGTTCATTATCGTTATTTGACTTATTTAAATCCGTTATTGACTAACGCGATTTAAGTCGATGATTATATACGAGGATAGGCGATGATAAACATTCATACGATCTCCGTGGAGTCAGATCCCGGGCCACTAAAGTGGAGAGCTCTTTCGAAAACATCGTCCGATCTAAATGACGACACAAATAACGGGCCCCAAAATATTGATTTTAGTATATGTATAAAATTTTACTAGAAATAAAACTGCACATGAACTGCAAACATTTGTTTCAATCCACTTGAATTGACATATCTTATAAAAAATACTACCATGAGTAAAGTGTCAGCTTTTAAATGATACCCTGTAGTTGCTATAGTGTATGGTGGACCAAAATATATTAATTCCAAAAAGAATGCAAAGTTATTACGAAAGAAAACTAATGTGTATATATACTAAATGTAAATTATACACACAAGGAAAAATATGCTGGACGTTACTTAAAATATCAAGCATAAGTATGTTTTAGTTTCTTTTGGTCTTGTAATTCACAATTATAAGTAGTTAGTAATCCCCACTACAAAATTATGATGAGTAGAAGTATTTGAATTATTATGCGAACTAGGTAGACATCAAGTACAAAAGAATAATTAGTTTATGCAAACACCATAAATTGCTGTAATTTGAGATGTGTATCCAGATATTACTGTTATCTGTAAACATAGATAGAAAATATATAAGTTCTACTATCATAACAGCAGATAATTGAGAACAAGAAGCATATATGTTCAACAGTGTATTTATCAGCAATACTTAAAAAAAACGAGTGAACAATACTTCAGAAAGTTTTCAGAGTTCATTAAACTAT